CTCGAGGGTGCAGGAAGTGTTGGGATATGATTTACTAAAAGGAGGAATTATTTTTTTCATATAAAGGACTTTTGTTCCGACTAAGTGCATCAAGGATGGCGGTGTTAAGGGTAAGTCGTAATTAGTCCTAAGTTTTATCTTATTTTTTCTTAACCATGTATCATGTATCGTACATTTTGAGATTGTTTTTAGTTATGAGTGAAGGTATCTGAAGTTAAAAGATGCCATTACTTAACTCATAATTATAACTCGTTTTTCTGTGCATAACTGTGTATTCATTATATCCTGTCAGCTTTTAAGCGAGTTTTGAGGTTTAGTTCAAACCACAACAATTATGATAGTAGTTATAATTATCAATATAGATAGCTGATATTAACGTTGAGGAAAAATCTATCTGCCTATCTATCTATTTATCAATACTTGCTTGCGTATGTATGTGTGTGGATAAATAGACAGATACCTATATACATACATATAACTGTGTGTGTGTGTGTGTGTGTGTGTGTGTGTGTGTGTGTGTGTGTGTGTGTGTGTGTGTGTGTGTGTGTGTGTGTGTGTGTGTGTGTATGTGTATGTGTGTGTGTGTCTGTGTGTGTCTGTGCGTGTGTGTGTGAGTGTGTGTGTGCGCATGCGTGTATATGTGCGTGTGTGTGAGTGTGTGTGTGTGTGTGTGTGTGTGTGTGTGTGTGTGTGTGTGTGTGTGTGTGTATGTGTGTGGTGTGTGTGTGCATATACATACACATACACACATACACGGGTGTATATGTGTGTATATATATGTATGTATGTGTATATATATATATATATATACACGTGTGTGTGTGTGTGTGTGTGTGCATATACATACACATACACACATACACGGATGTATGTGTGTGTGCTTCTGTATGCGTGTGTGTGTGTATGTATGTACATGCACACACACACACACACACACACACACACACACACACACACACACACACACACACACACACACACACACATATATAGATATATATATATATAATATATACATACATATATATGCATGTGTGTATATATATGTATATATGTTTATACATATATATTTATATGTATATATGTGTGTGTGTGTTTGCATTTGTACATGTATGTATGTGTGTATAACATGCATTGTCTGTATATTTGCGTATGGATTCCTAATTGCATATAAATATATACATATACATACAGTGGCGGAACTAGGAGGACCACTTGCCCCTCCTCACATATAAAAAGAAATAATATCATAATTAGTATTTCCATTATACTCTAAGAATAGTCCAGAACCATTATCCCTCCCTTCTCTCAACGGAGTAGTGTCTCCGTTTTTTCCCCTAGATCCGCCTCTGTACATTCACATACATATATTAGTTCATACGTTGTAACATCTTAAGGTACCATAAACATCCCTGTTATTCCTAAGCTTAATATCCTTTACAGTGTTGTTAATCTCGCTTCTCCAGGTCGCTCCCTGCCTCCTAGTTCTCCTCGCTGTCTACTCATTCCCTGGGCATGTCTGGGCACATCCATATCCGCCTTCAATTCAGGAGACTCCAGACTTACTCCCTTTGACGTCCGATTCAGTGCAGCAGAAGAGCAGTTTGCCAATTCAAGGTTCAAGCCAACTATCCCCTGATTCAGTGCATCAAAATTCCTACACGATTCTACCCATTTCCGTCCCAGTTCAGTTAAATCTGAAAGCAGGTCCTTCTAGCAGCGATCCTGGTTATCTCTCTCAGGGGCCAGCTCTTTCTGTTTTAAACCAGGAGACCGGATCCATTCGCAATGGCACAGACTCTTCAGGAGACATAACAGGTGAAGGCATTTCAGCTCATGACTTTAATTCGAATTCATCCTCTGACCCTGGACTTTCATCCAATCCTTCGCCAAGGTATGCGAGGAAGTTAGCCAACCAGAATCCTGTTAGTACAAATTACCAATCAGATAAGACAGGGGACTTGCATGTAACTCAAATAACTGACTTTCGATCATCTAAAATATCTGACCAGATAGTTCCCGATGAAGGATCTGCGAAGCTAGTTAGTCCACAACTACCAGTGTTGCCTAGTCTGGGAGCTACCAGGTTAATTGATCTAGGATCTGCCAAGGTAATCGACACTAAAGCAAAGTCTAAACCAGATAATTTAAAAGATGTTACTATAAGCTCTATTAGGGTTACTGACTTAGGATCAAGACCTGGAGTTACATATTTAGGATCTGTTAAGGCAAGCGACTTAGGACTTATTAAAACTGTTGATGCGGCTAATGTTCAGGTAGGTGACTCAGGCTTTGTCCAAGAAAGTAATATTACCTCTGCCCAGGTAGGTGACTTGAAACCTAACACTGCAAGTGACTTAGGATCAGCAAAGACAAATGACATAGATTATATTCAGTCAAGTGGCCTAGAATCCCTCGAGGCAAGAGAGCTAGTTTCTGCCCAAACAGATGGTTTAGGATCTGCTCAGATAAATGAGCTTGGGCCAACCAGACTGATTGATCTTGGGTCTATTAAAGTGTTAGACGCAGGACCTACAGTTGACTTAGGACCCACTATAGGAAGTGACTTGAATTCAGCCATACCTAGTCAAAGGCTTACTCCTGGGATACTCTCCGAACCTACAAAGGTAGCTGAAACAGGATTTCCCGAGGTATCATATCTAGGAACTGTTAAATTAGCTGATCTTATATCTACAAGGGAAAGTGACCCAGAAGTTGACCTAGAAACCGCAGTGGAAACGGTTCTGAAATCTGAAGAGAATAACCTAGAAACCACTGAGATATCTACAGGACACTATCCAGAATTCCTGCACGCCTCTTCTGCAACAGAAGATGAAGATTCATTCCCAGAGATTGAACTCGACACCAGCCCTTTCATTAGCCTTGACTCTGCCCTTTTTATTGACTTGGGACCTTCTTCAACTGACCCAAGTGCACCATCTACCGAGGTCCAGGAAGATTCCCCACTTATAGACCTTATCTCAGACACCATCCTAGAAATGGTAACCAAAGAACCTGACCAAAATTCAGAACCAGGGCCTCATGGCGGTCTGTTCTCTAAGCCGTTTGTCATAATGGGTCCAGGTAACACGCACGATTTCTCGGCTTCTCCATTTAAATCTCTGCAAAATTCATCTGAACCTAAAGAGCAGATCTCCCGAGAAATTCCATTTACAGGATTCAGTTATGACTCTCAATTGGATCAAAACCCTGAGGCAGAAAAGGGAAATGGCTCGGTTCACGGCATGGAAGTTAAGACAGACTACAACAATACACAGAGCCTGTCTTATCCTCCAATTGCTGAGCTTGGAGATGCCTCTAAAGGTACTTTTGAACAGTCATCGCTTCATGAACCTGGGGATCATCAAACGTCTGTGCACAGCTCTGCTTTCAACTCAGATCTTCAGCATGTTCCACTTGAACAATCATCCAAGGTGGGCCATGTCCCAGTTAATGACAGACACTTCTCATCTGCTCTTGGATATGAAGCTTCCAGATACACACCACTCTCTGACTTTGCATATTCTTTGGACACCACTGAAGGAGAGGCTCCACAAATTACACTTAGACAAAACAGTGCAATCAATACGGATAATGAGCCATCCTCTGACATGGCATTTCCATCTTATGACCTGAAATATAATTCTGCATCCTCAGATGACTTCGACTACCCCTCTACTTCGTCACATGAGCTGGAGCAATACCCAGCCTCATATAATCTTGAGCAGATTACCCCATTCAAAACAGATCTTTTAACTGATTCTTTTAACTCTAATGACTACCTCAACCCCGACAAAGCCTCAAAGCCTCAGAATAGAGAAAATCTTCAGCAGGACAAATCATCACCTACTGATGTTGCCCCAGTTCATGCACTTAGCACAGAGCCAAACCAAGGGACAACCTCTCAAGATCCAGTTTCAAATACCGCACCAAGATTCTTCCGTGAGATAGCACATGAATCTGGTGTGGAAGCTCAACACTCTCTACATGGTGTGCAGGGACAGTCGGTCCTGGGTGATGAACAGCAATATCAAGTGCCCCTTTTGGAGGGAGATAAATCCTCAATTCTAGGATCAGAATATGGTCAACTCTCTGCCACAGGGTCTCAGTATAATCAGTTACCAACAACTGGGGAAAAGCAAGACCAATCCTTACCTATAGGGTTGCAGTATGATGAATTACCAACAAGTGATCCTTCCCTAACCACAGGGTTTGATTATGAATACTCCTCAGTCACAGGTTCGCAGTATAACCAATCACCAGTAAGTGGAGAAAACCATAGCCAGTTCTCTGCCACAGGGTCTCAAGCTAATCAGATATCAATCCCTGTGATAAAGAATAATCAGCCTCAAATTTCAGGGTCAGAATATGGCCTGTCCTCAGACATAGGGTCACAATATAGCCAGTCTTTAGGCAGAGAGACACCATTTAATCAAGTACCAGTAATTGGGACCCAGTACGACCAGTCTTCAGTTACACACTTTGAAAATATTCAGACACCGGGCACAGTGCCTCAGTTTGCCCATTCCGCAATTGGGTCACAGAATAACCAGTCGCCAGAAACTGTGTCACAACAACAGTTTTCTGTTACAGGATCAATTTATAATCAGTTAGAAACCAATGTGCCCAACCCTGACCAATCCTCAGTCACAGAATCACAGTATGACCAGTCTCTACTAACTGGACCACAGTATGAGCAGTCACTACCAACAGGACCACACAATGTACAGATTTCTGCTACAGGGTTTATAAATGAATCACCAGTTATCACTTCACATCATGTCCAATCCTTAACATCAGGCTCACGGTATGACCAGCCAGTACCAGTTATCAAAGGACAAAAGGATCAATCAGTAAATAACCAGTTTACAGTTGCAGACACCGGCTTTGGTGAACCTATCATTACAAGATCACAAAATGACCAATTTAAGACAACATTCAATCATCACAACCAACTTATAACTTCAGGGTCACAATATAACCAACCTACAATCACTGGATCACAGTATAACCAACCTACAATCACTGGATCACAGTATAACCAACCTACAATTACTGGGTCACAGCATAACCAACCTGAATATGCTCAACAAACAAACATACAGAATCCTATTGGAATCGACAGTGCATCAGCAGCTGAATATGACTACCTCACTGGCTCTGGTTCTCGTGGTGATGAATCTGGGAACTCAAGGTTTGAATATGTTCAGGCTTCTGATGTGCAGACTGATTATGCTCAGCCAATAAGCACAGAACCTGATTATCTACAGCCAGGAGAACTACCTAATGATTTACAGTTAGACCAAGGTACTAATAATGCCCAAGGAATAAGCCATGAAAATGATTATGTCCATGAAGTACAAACAGGAATTGACTATACTTCAGGTAATGATGGGCTTGATTACACCCAAGAAGTAGGCCAAGTATCTGATTATGTAGTAAATGACTATAGTCAGACAGGACCAGGTATTGATGGTGCTCAGGCAGATGTCTCTGATTATGTTCAAACAGTTGTCCCTAATTACGTTCAGTCAACAGTCCCTGATTATGTTTATTCAGCTGTCACTGATTTATCCCAGCCAACAGATCAGGGATCTGACCAGATAGAGCTAACAAACCCTAGCCTTAATCCACTAGTAGATCAAAATAAAGGAAGTGTCGCTCATATAAATCAAATATCAGACCAAAGCCAATTAGGTGCTGCTGCACCCTTTATTCAACCAGTTATTTTATTGCCAGAGCTTATTCACCCAAGAGAATTAGGAAGTGAATATGATCAGTCAAGTAGCTTGGACTCATCAGCTTTCCAGCTTGAAAGTGGCCACCTTTCTGATATAAACACCAACGTCGAGGTAAACATCCATCCAAAAGGCAAAGAATCAGAACATGCTGATATAGGATCTAACTATCCTTATACAAATAATCCAGAAGCATCTCAAGTGGCTCCCACTTTAGGAACTGAATACAGCCAGCTAAATAATGTCAGATTAGAAAATATCCAGACATCTGCCGAGAAAACTGATTATGTTCAGCCATCGTCTACAGGCTACGAGTTAACACAGTCAAGAGTTTCATCTGAGCTAGGACATGGACCAGGTCTGACAAATAACTTGGGTTCTGCCCATAGTGTAGATCCTGAATATAACCCGCAAGAGACTCATTTGAACCCTCAGAGTCATGAGAACTCTTTACAAATACTTAATCTTCCTTCCACTCCAAGTAAGGATTTTTCAGATGACTCAATACCTGGGAGCGAATTTGGCAATATTCCATCCCAAGATCATGGTGCAATATCCACCTTCACCAACTCGCCAGATTTCTCCGCAAGTTCTTCATTTAACAACCAGTATGAGGAAGCCAATAATAAGTCGCCATTTTCTACACTTGACCTTGCCGCTGATCATACAGCAGATCAGCATGTCCCTCTGCCTGACGAAGTACCAATAGCTCGCTCCATCCCAGAGTCTAATCCAGATACCCAAGAGTATCTGATACAAGATACTTTTAGACCATCTGCAAAAATCGATACAGGTAGCCAAGACTTGCTGGAAAATGAAAAATATTCCTATGATTTAGAAAATGCATCAGCAGCCGAAGTGGTTCCAAGTGCAGCAGATGACGTAGGAAGCCAGTTAGCGCATGGCCAAGGCTTTACTTCTGCCCCAGAATTTCCGTCAGGTGTACTTGATTCTACTACAACAGATGTCGGATTAGGAATTTATGAACATTCTGTTTCAGAAGAAATATCGAACATTTTACAAGAAGCTAACCTCAGTCAGACTCCAGTACCTTATACAGGACACACTTCAGATCATTATCGAGGATCTGTACAAACATCTACACTTGGATACACTGCAGCACCTACTCTGGGATACTCACAGAACCCTTTGACATACACACCAGGTGCTTCTGCGGCAACACCTGCTGTAGAATACACCTCAACTCCTACTCCAGGATATACACCATCTGTCCGAGGATACACGCCAGCCCTTGCTTCCGGGTATACATCACCTATAACTCAAGGATACACAACACTTTCTGCTTTAGGGAATACTCCTACACCTGCCCCAAGACTCGCATCATTGTCTGATTACAACCAAAGCCCACAGCCTGGGTTGGAATTTACTCCAAAGCCTATCCAAGAATACACACCTTCTCCTGACACAGGGCGAGGGCCATCTGCTACAGTAGGATACACACCCAAACCAATAACAGGATACACCCCTCATGAACAAGGACGAATCTCAGCTTCTACACAGGGATACCCACCAGTCACTACCCAGAGCCCTACCCAAGAACCCGATTTTACTTATACAACACCCTCTGTCTTGAATCGTACTCCACTCATTCAGAAAACAAATCCACTAACTCCCGCAGTGGGAATCACTCCTTCACCTTATCCCAACGTCACCCCAACACCCGCTCCTATCCTGGATAATACCTTAGCACCTGCCCAGGAATACACCACAAGGTCTCCCCAAGGGTTTGCCACCACGCCTG